AATGAATACGAAAGATGCATATGAAAGCTGAGTGTTTGGGGAATGTAAAATATGCAATTTGGATGTTTAGGGACTATTCATACATTGCTGTGGTTCCATCCGTTTGGTTTAGATGTTTCTTGTATATGTACATATACCGTTAAATGTATATATTTGTTGGTAAATGTATACATTTAAAGCAGTGAAACATGTAATCAAGGTATAAAATCTGGTTATAAATACGTTTGATTTAGTGGGAACGCTTTGCAGGAATTTTTTTTATTTTAGAAAGGTGTTTAGCTCCATCACCACCACCGGCCGCTGCGTTGCACAATCCGATCATATCTTATTCAGACCACTTCCCGAAATATTTAGGTTAAGAGCGTTCCTCTCTCACACTATTTCTCCTCCTGTTCAGTTTCGTTTCTTTCCTTTAGTAAATTACAGAATTTTCTATTTCGAAGGTGCCATGCAGCTCAGTTATTTTTATTTTTTTTTCGGTTGTGAAATCGGACGAACGAGAAAAGTATCCCAACGAAGTGCACTTCGCCGCGTGATTTAGTATAGGTGCACCCACATCTAAACACCTCGGACACGTGCCCATCCTAATACCAATCTGACAAAAACAAAAAAACAAAATATATACGAGAAACGTCAAGAACGTGAGACGTCACTCAAAGTGAAATTATTGCACGGAGCAAGTGTTTCCTACACTTTTCAGATTTAGTGCAACTTGCATCTGCCACATTTCGTTTTTTTTTTTGTTGATATATTTGAAATATCATCAGTCCGGATTACTCGCTAAGTACAATAAATTGCATTCATTGCTTAAAATAGTCGAGTTTAACAAAAAAAAAAATGCAATTATTTACATGCAGGTTTTACAATGGCAGTTGTGGCGCTATTTTCGGATGTCCACACGAAAATAGACACTTATGAAATGTTGACAATTATTTTCGTGCAACTAAACTCATATTTTCACCTTACACACAACTCGCATCTTATTTTTCAACTGTAAGACAAAATTTGTGACTACGTGGCAACGTTTCTTTACTTGTCCACTCTAAATTGTTTTAAATTTGACATACGTCATGATGACATGCGATCAAATGTCAAACAGTGTCAATTCTATTCATATTATTCTCAATTTTATATAATTCTCAGCAATTTTTAACTACATATCGCTTAAGAAAATGTAAATTCATAAAATTATTGTACTAAAAAAATTTTTTTTTTCAAAATTTGTTATAAAAATCTTTTTGCAGAGACTTCCTAAAATCACATTTGCCAAGATTCTGAAAAAGTGAAATAATGGATTGTTTGTGTTTTTGTGAATTCGGAACGAAAATCAAGTGGGCAAAACATGTAAATATGCTTTAATCAGATCGAGACTTTAGACTTTTTCCTCTAACTGCATAGGATATGCGAAGAAATTTTAGGTTTGAGAATAAAAACGGCGATGAAGAAATTTTGGGACAGAATAAAAAAATGTAATGGGTCTGGCGCATCTGTCAACGTGTGTGCACGGACGGTGCACGCGTTCGGTCTCCGTCTCCTCACCTAAAAATACCGAGATGACAAAACACAATGGCATACGTGTTGTATGTATGTATGTGCATTCGTATGTTTTTCTGAATCGGAATGCCCCCACCTTTCAGAGCTTCTTCAAATTTAGACGCACCTGAACATCAATCATTTACTAGCACGCATTTTACAACTTTACGTCTTCATCTGGAATTAGGTCATAGATAGAAACACGTTTTTTTTTTGTAGTGGGAATCATTTTTTTTTAAAGATTTGTAGTCAAAAAGAATAGAATTGGGTCATAGAAATCGTCACTTCTTTTTTTTGTAAATATCATATATATCTATAGCAACCCTTTCAATAGCATTCAACTATTCAAACAACTGAAGTATGAGAAACTAAAATTTGATCATGAGTTTGAAAAATTTGAATTTTGACATGGAAATCATCACTTTTTTATCATCTGAAGAAAGAGAAGATAGAATTAGTTTCAATTTTTTTTGGTAAATACCAGTGAGGTTCATAAACCCGTGAAACGAACGGAAAGATCATAAGAGTTGCTATGGGTCATTGCATTTTGCACGAAATCTGTTGGCCGTAAATCCATCCGGTCGGGCTTAATTTAACGCGCATAAATTCCGTCGGTCGAGCCGTTTCATTCTCCCGCTTTTCCTGTGCCTTTTTCACTCTTCTACGCACTCTTCACTTCGTCATCCTTTCCATTCCTGCCCGAAGTCGCGACTAATTGGAATTTATCATCATCCCGGACGACGCACCTAATTGCCTGGCGACACACCGTTAAATGCAATTCCACAAGCTTAACAAAAAAAATCTTTTAGTCTTCAGCAAAATAATTTTTAAAAATCATCATATCTCACTGATTAATTAACATTACTCAATAAAAGTTATATCAAAAGTTGCGCAACGAAAAACTGTATATTAAGCAAAAATAAAATTTAGAAAAAGTTTTATAGTTTTCGAGTTATTCAATAAAAATTAAAACGTCAAAATTGACAGTTTATAATAGATGGATGACGTAGATTGACATTACGTGATTATAGTTATGTCAAAAGATGAGCATCTAATCTGGATTAAAATTAAACAAAAACACTTTTTAAAAAATTGACAGTTTATAATAGATGGATGACGTAGATTGACATTACGTAATTATAGTTATGTCAAAAGATGAGCATCATTTAAAAAGTATTATAGATTTTGACCTAATCTGGATTATAATTAAACAAAAACAGTTTTTTTTACAAAATATTATTCCTTGTGTCCCACATTTTATTTTCATCGCTGTTACTCAGCGACCATTGCCAATATCAGATAAGTCTTAATTACTGCAGTCAAAATGACGACCGAAAATAGAATGTATTTTGATGTATTTATAATACTTTCTTTGACGCTTACAGGTTAGGTTGAGTTAAGAATTTGACTTGCTAAAGAGAATTTAGGTAATAAAAACAATGTGTCACTTCTTTTTTTGTAAAGTTATATCAAAAGTTGCGCAATGAAAAACTGTATATTAAGCAAAAATAAAATTTAGAAAAAAGTTTTATAGTTTTCGAGTTATTAAATGAAAAAGAAAAAAAATCAAAACGTCAAATTTTACAGTTTATAATAGATGGATGACGTATATTGACATTACGTTATTGTAGTTATGTCAAAAGATGAGCATCTAATATAGTTTTTGACCTAATCTGGATTAAAATTAAACAAAAACACTTTTTACAAAATATTATTCCTTGTGTCCCACATTTTATTTTTATCGCTGTTACTCTGTGCCTAAAACCATTGCCAATATCAGATAAGTCTTAATTACTGCAGTCAGAATGACGACCGAAAATAGAATGTATTTTGATGTATTTATAATACTTTCTTTGACGCTTACAGGTTAGGTTGAGTTAAGAATTTAACTTGTTAAAGAGAAGTTAGGTAATGAAAACAATGTCACTTCTTGTTTGGTAAATATCATATATATCCATAGCAACCCTTTCAATAACATTCAACTATTGAAACAACTGAAGTATGCAAAACTAAAATTTGATCATAGTTACCATAGAAATTATTTTCTCAACTTTTTCATCATATCCAATATCAGATAAGTCTTAATTACTGTAATCAGAATGACGATCGAAAATAGAATTTATTTTGATGTATTTATAATACTTTCTTTGACGCTTACAGGTTAGGTTGAGTTAAGAATTTGACATGATAAAGAGAGGTTAGGTAATAAAAACAATGTGTGTTTGAAATGGAGAGACGTCATCTGAAATTCTTTCCCTTTGATATTTAGACTCAGGTTGTTTGTCGTGTTAATGACATCAGCAGGTGTTTATGTGCATGGTGTTTTTGGCTCTTGCTGTTGGCATCATTTGATCCTTTGACGTGCATCAAGGGTCGCCGTGTTATTGTACTTGGATTATTACTTAATCGTCTTCAAATACTTTACATATTTACACTCCGAATATTTCTAACAATAAAAACAATACTATTTTGTATATTGCAAACAATATTCGTAACATTATTAAAAAAAAATTGTAAAATTTATATTATTATTATATGCAACCAAGTTATCGCATGGAATGCAATTATCTGATATGTATGTTTTGGTTGGCAAACGAATCTTTTTCTAGACTAAATTTAAATTCGTTAGTCAACCAAAAACACACAATTTTAAATTAATGTTTAATTGCTGTTAAGATCACAATAATAGCTACACGTAATTAGACAAACAATTTGCTTATTTTATATAATATTTTAATGTTGTTACTTTTCACTTTAATGTAATTATAACGCAGGGATCGACGAACGAATAATTAATTAAATTTAAACTAAACATCGTATGCAACCAAATGTACACTTCCGTTCTGCGCGACAGACGTTCGACGCGTATTACTTTCTTGGCGGGGCGTTTGAATAACTTCATTTTGAAATAAATATAGTGATCTTACCTTCACATTTTAATCCTTGCTTGTAAATACCATAGAGGAGAGATCCGCAGTGGTCGCAAAACGTTGGGGACATGAACGTGTGCACTTTGAACCGATGCGGAACGTCAATTTTGAATCGCGCCCTGAGGTACTGCCACCACATAAAAAATAAAATTACCAGATTCATCATCATCATCATTGTTGCTATTGTTATAATTACAATTGTGCTTTCCGATTCTCGTCCGGATCCCGGGCATTTTCCCAGCAACTTGTCGTGGCATTTCTTGTGGACGGCCGTCTGACAACCTGAAATATTGCACACGATTCTTTGAGGTGACAGCGATTCTATGGAGGATTTTGATTTAGTCACTCACATTGACATTGGTAGCCCTGCTTGCAGAAACCCCACAGGAAGTCCTTGCAGAAAGCGCAGAACGTCGGTTGCCTGAAAAACTTCGCGAGAAATTTGTGTCCTTTCACCTCGTGCACCCTGAAAACGAAACAAAAAATCGTCAGATACATGTAAAATTAAATATATAAGTTTTAATTTAGTAATTGTAAAGAAAAAGTAATAATAATTACAAACGTCGTTTAATTTGTTTTGTTTCAATTGTCGCCAACTTAATTCGTATTAACAAAAGTAATATTTTAATTGTTATGCAACCCCCAAATAAAGGGTAGTTATGCAACACATAATCCAAACACTTACTAAATTAATCAACTTTTGCAAAATTATTATAAATTTACAATTCATTCATTTCAAATAAGTATTAATAATTTAGTGACGCCATCTATTGCTGAAAATTTTACAAACAATAATACAAATGTGAGTAATCCACAATTAAATATATAAGTTTTAATTTAGTAATTACAAAAAAAAAGTAATAATAATTACAAACGTCGCTTAATTTGTTTTGTTTCAATTGTCGCCAACTTAATTCGTATTAACAAAAGTCATATTTTAATTGTTATGCAACCCCCAAAAAGGGTAGTTATGCAACACATAATCCAAACACTTTCTAAATTAATCAACTTTTGCAAAATTATTATAAGTTTACAATTCATTCATTCATAAATTTCAAAAAAGTATTAATAATTTAGTGACGCCATCTATTGCTGAAAATTTTACAAACAAAAATACAAATGTGAGTAATTCACAATTAAATATATAAGTTTTAATTTAGTAATTTCAAAAAAAAGTAATAATAATTACAAACGTCGCTTAATTTGTTTTGTTTCAATTGTCGCCAACTTAATTCGTATTAACAAAAGTTATATTTTTATTGTTATGCAACCCCCAAATAAAAGGTAGTTATGCAAAACTGTCGCCAACTTAATTCGTATTAACAAAGTCATATTTTTATTGTTATGCAACCCCCAAATAAAGGGTAGTTATGCAACACATAATCCAATCAGATCTAAACACTTTCTAAATTAATCAACTTTTGCAAAATTATTAAATATTTACAATTCATTCATTCATAAATTTCAAATAAGTATTAATAATTTAGTGACGCCATCTATTGCTGAAAATTTTACAAACAAAAATACAAATGTGAGTAATCCACAATTAAATATATAAGTTTTAATTTAGTAATTACAAAAAAAAGTAATAATAATTACAAACGTCGCTTAATTTGTTTTGTTTCAATTGTCGCCAACTTAATTCGTATTAACAAAAGTCATATTTTAATTGTTATGCAACCCCCAAATAAAGGGTAGTTATGCAACAC